GTTGATGTGAATGGTTAACGATAATGAGAAGACAGTTTGGAGAGTTTGGTGGTGGGTGGCGCTGGTGAGTGGTGATGGAGTCTAGAAGAGTGGAAGTGCCGAAGTGGAGGTGGAGTTCTTGCAAAAAGTTGTAGTGGAGTCTGGATTGAAGGGTGGAAGTGCCGAAGTGGAGCTGTGGAGGTGGAGTTTTGCAAAAAGTTGTGATGGAGTCTGGAAGTGGCGAAGTGGAGTGGAGGTGGAGTTTGATAAAATAAAATAAAAAATTTCTTTATATACTTAGGGTTATTTAGGGTAAAAACCGGTTTGGGGAAGCTCTCAAACCGAAAACCGAACCAGTTTGCAAAAAAACCAGATTTTCGGTCTGGTTTCGGTTCGGTTTTGAGTTCGGATCAGTTTTAGGATAATTTCTCCCACCCCTAATTGCCGGTCAATGTCATGTGTGTGTGAGCTTGAAAAGATATTCTATTTGGTGAAGTATAGCAGGGGATGCATAAACTCAATTCCATGGTGGGTGCTATTAAAAAAATTCACATGACAGCATTTACAGTCTGTGAAAGGTCCAAAATTGAGATACTGGTTTTAGTCTTTTTTCAACATGTTTACTGAACTTGGCTTAGTTTTCGGTGTGGGTTGGGGGGGTTCACTGGAAATGTAATCGCCGTTATAATGAGATTTGCTTTTATGTTTTCAGTATCTTGAAAAGGAGCTTGGAATAGAAGCGTTGAAGACAATGAAAAGAATTAAAGCAGCTTTAGACCCGAACAATATCATGAATCCAGGAAAGCTCATTCCTCCACATATTTGCATTTAAATTTTCCTTTCCGATCCCACACCTTTTTCCCAAGGCTGATTTGCACATGGGCTTGACCGCAAAAGTAGGATCAACAGAATGCAGGTTCCACTGCCTCTGCAGCATTAGAGTTAGTAACCCTACTTACACATTTGCTTCGCATGAAGATAAAAGTTTTCCTATTCACTGCAAGCAGTAGGGAACAAACTCCCTTGTACCAATATTACAGGGGTGGGGTACATGGTATTAGAAAAAAAAAAAAAAAAAAAAAGACTAAAAATATCTGTGCTATCTTATCCGACAATTGAGCAAGAAGGCTTGAACTTAGCTCATTCATCATTTTTCTCTATTGTAATCTATTCAAGCTAGCACTTCCATGTCCAGAGTCCTTATTCTGTATACTATTTAAAATTTTTATGTTCGATTTGGAAATCATGTGATAATAAAAATGAGGCTGATAAACAAATAAACATATCCTTCATGTTGTATTCTTTGATCTCTCTCTCTCTCTCTCTCTTCTCTCTTTTGTTTTTAATGCAATAATTTAGCAGAAATGATGGGAAATGAGAAGAGAATGGAATGGTAGCCCAACCATGACCATCAACAGTGGGCTGAAAGAGCCACCTGAACGAAGGTTTGTTTGGTTTTATTTTGGTTAAATGTGAACACTATCAGCCTAACTTATTGGCGAAAATGTTGGCTTATTCAAATTCTTATGGTCTTTGCATGTTCTTCCAATGAATGGAAAGAAAGCAACTGCACGTTTCAGCACTTAAAAGTGAGGAATTGGCAGAGGAATAAAGCCAGCAAAACGACACAACAAGAGTAAGACAAATTACTGGTCCAATTCCTTCTAGTGGGGCTTTTATTAGTTTTCATTTGTTTACTTGCATAATCTTCAAGATCCTTTTATTATTACTAGGATTCATTATTGATCGCTTCAATCTTAATTGAAAATGATGGATTCCATTTTCTCACGTTATATGAACTTATCTGGGAGGCCTAGACATTAACATTTAGCATCATTCATTTTTGGAGTCTAGTGATGTTTAGCACTTTTGATTTCTGAAAAGGTGCCTCAATTTTACACTGAGAGGGACATCTTTTTAAGGGCATCTATAGGTCACTATCCTATATATCAATTCATGGATTTCAAATGATTCACCATCTCTCTTTCTTTCTTCTTTTTTCCACCAATGATGCTTTGAATTTGGAGGATTTTTGGTTTATTTAATTTTATTTTTGCTTCTACTTCAACCCCTAACTTGGATTCCTCTAAAATTGCTTCTAAGTGGGGTTTATGAACCATTACAAAAACATTGTAGGAAGTCTTGTTTAAAGATCGATTTATTAGGGAATGTTGTCTATTTAACCTTATTTTTAGGTGATGTTGCACATTTTCTCCACCCAATATGTTACACTCTCGTTATCCTATCAATCATGTGACACTCTGTTACATTTGACCTTGTCTAGTTTGTCTAGTAAGTCTTATATTCGATATTTTCTCTTATTGGATGTCACACTCGTGTCATTGTGCCTGACTGGACACGACACTCTTAATTATGACATCCTTAATTATGTTACATACATTCACATTTAGCATTGGACACTATCCTTAGCGGGACATGACACTCTCAATCATGTGAAACTTCCATCACATTTGGCATTCCATATGTGACACATTCATCACATATAGAATTCAACATTTTTTGTGACAGAATATGACACCCATTTATATGACACTCTTGCAATGTTTGAAACTATCCCTGCTTAGTCCAACACAACCCTTGGTCCGTTTGGGGAGCTCACATAGTGGGTGGAAACTTTATTTTAAAACTTATTTATCATGGACAGATTCTACTTAAAACAATAGTATTTTAGTTAATATAATCATAATAAGTCCAAAATCTAAATGGGATCCTAACAATTTGCTATGTTAACGCAATTCAAAGATGCACATTGGTAAGTCTCCCTTAGTAACTAAGCAAATAATAATATATTAATGCCAAGTTATAGTTGGTAACTAAATAATAGAGATTCTCTAGCAAGGAAGTGTCACTTAACCAATCTTTGGGTGGTTGAGTGGTTTGATAAGGACGTTTGGATTCAAGAGGTTTTGAGTTTAAGTCTCTTCTCGGTTGCTAATAGGGGTGACCATTGGAATTCTTACTCAACTGGTAGTTCCAGGGTTTCAAGAGATTAGTTAAAGTACACATAAACTAATTTAGACATCCCTAATCATAAAGAAGTGTTAGTTGAGTCATAAAGAAGTGTTAGTTGAGGTTGTGGTCCATTCAAGCATAGTGTGAACATGCTTAGTAATTGACCTCCAATTACAGTCACAAAGTTTGAAAACACCATCAATTGCGTTTGTATACAACCTATCGCTATCCATTTTGAATATATACTAAAATGCCTTGCTTAATTTGGTATAGTCATTGCTTAATTAAGTATGGTGATAAACATCATTGACATTCTCACTCTTTTCAAAATCAATAGAGTGGTTTCCGAATTCATTATTAGTCTTCTACTAATTACAAAATTGTGATTAAAAATATTGTGTCATTTTAATCGTAATCTGATTTGCTCTACAAAATCTGCTGTTTGATCTGTCTTATGAACACTTACATGGTTATAAATTCTCGCAGATTGTAAGGTTTAGTGGGAATTCTAGTTTTGAACTCGGCTTCATAAAATAAGGTCGAGAGATTTCTGGGTTGTAAAAAGAAATTATAACTCATACTATGTTAGTAATGTTATACTAATAAATCCATTAGATTGATTTAGATGATTTATATTCAAGTGTTCCAAGTAAAATTAACCCAGCAAGTTTATTACTTTGTCAACAATGTAATAATAAATTAATTAGCCCTTTAATCATCTTTGGTCATTTGGGGCTTTTTATTTTATTATTTTATAATCATTTTTTGTTTTCAATGACAGAGATGTCCAGGTTAATTTGTGTATATCTCAACTAATCTTCAGGGCTCATTGAAACCTACAAGCCTAATGTTCTAAAGTAAGTTACAAATATAAGATGTAGTCCCAAAGTAGCTCTAACCCAAGAAGAGATCAAATCTTTTTAATCCTTGGTCAACCCTTTGGGGTTTTGGCTTTATGAGTTTTTTACAGTCATTTGAGCACAATAACATGTGGTAGCTAGCTGGAATTTCTAATTAAATTTGTCATGGTCTCACCCTCACCACTCAAGGAATGGCTCTTGTCTTGGGATATACGAAACAAGTTATCTAAAGCATAGCAATTCTCTAAGCTTGTTGACACTCACATTGTGCTAAATATATATTATTACAAACAACTTCTATATTTATATTTGTTTATTTATTTACTTATTTTCCTTAAGTTGTGACCAATAATCAAAGCAATATTAAGGCATCAAGAAAAGATACACTATATCTTCATCTTATAAGGAAACTAAATTATCGGGACTTTTCTCTGAAGTAGTTTTAAGGGTTATTATCGTTCGTATGACACTTTAAAAAGTAATATTACATATCCTAAGAGATTTTTTTTTTTTTTTTTTTTTTTTAAATTAGTATACCAAATAACGTGTCATCCTATTTGATATGTTATATCATTGTACGAATTCATCACTTCATTACATGTCAATATAATATCTAATGATGATACAAATTTAGGGATAATTTTCAGGATATGTTGTATTATTGTTTTAAAAAAAAAAAACATAAAGAAAAAATGACACAAACCCACAAGTTCATCAGTGAAGAGACATCTTTTTATCAATAAAGTGTGTATTTTTTCATGATATTTTCAAAATGTTTATTAATAGAACTCTAATATCTTTTACTTTTAAGCTCTTATCCGGTTGATAATTTCAGGGTCCTGAAAGATTAGTTGAAGTGCGTGTAAACTTGTCAGACACCATCGACCATTAAAAAAAAAAAAAGAACTATAATATCTATCCTTTTTTTTTTTTTTTTTTAAATTCAAAGACTAAATGATAGTATCTCTAAGCCAAATTACATATCATAATTAAGCAAACTAAAATCTTCAATCTTCCACATATTTAATAATTATCAATTAAACATTAACATGGCCACCAATTATGCTCTTCATCTATGGTCCATATTCAAAACGATAAGATAAACCCCATGACCATCAACACACGTATATGCTAGTGCCATAACATTAACACTTTTCCCCCTTCCTCCCCTATATAAATATATATCTCTCTACACCTTCCTCACAAAAACAACCACAACCTCTCCACCAACCACACCAATGGGTTCTCTCCCTGACTTCCCTAAACCTTACGTAATAGAAGACTGCATGGGAGCCGTAAAACTCTACAATAACGGCACCGTTTTGAGGTGCAATGACACCAAGTTTAAAGCCTCTTACGTCGAAGATGAATCCGTACAATACAAAGATTATTTATACGACCCGAAAAATGAACTCAAACTTCGTGTTTACAAACCCATTTCCGGAAATCCAAACCCTAGATTTCCTGTAATTTTTTTCATTCATGGCGGAGGGTTTTGCGTTGGCTCATTTTCGTGGTCAAACTCTCACAATTCTTGCATACGTTTAGCTTCTACTCTAAAAGTTCTTGTGGTTTCCATAGACTACCGGCTGGCGCCTGAACGGCGGCTTCCGGGGGCTATGGAGGACGCTTTCAACGCCGTGAAATGGCTGCAAAGGAAGGCTATGGGCTTGAGTAAAGAGGATTATGAGTGTGGTGGAGATGCTGCATGGTTCAAAATTAGCGAGGTTGACTTTGACCGAGTTTTTGTTGTTGGCGATTCTTCAGGGGGAAATATCGCGCACCACTTGGCGGTTCGGGTCGGTTCCGATTCGGCCGGGTTTGATCCGGTTCGAGTTCGAGGTTATGTGCTGTTGGCGCCATTTTTTGGTGGGGTTGATAGAACCAAGTCTGAGGAAGGACCCAGTGAGACTGTTCTGAATCTGGATTTACTTGACATGTAAGTGCTTGTTCTTCATTAAATTCTTAATTTCGAACTTAACTGACGAAAAGTTCACTCATCGTAATTGGGTTTGTGAACTTTCGTTCAATTCTCAGATACAAAATTTAACTGTTGTTAGTGAGAATTTGAGTTCGGAGTCATTAAATTTAGTCAAAAATTGATGTATATATATAATGACCCATATAGTTATAATACGTAAGTTTTTTAAGGTAATAATGGAAGTGTTATAACCAATAATGGATTGGCTGAGTAGTAAAGGCTTGGAGTCAAAGGGTTTGCTCCCCTTGTGGTCTCAGATTCGAATAACAAGAACAGTTGTTAATATTGTTAGTTACGGACCGCAGGGTTTACCCTGTTTTGAAAACCTTGTTTTGGGTCGAGAGACTAGTCGAGGTGTCTATCATTACCGCAGGGCTTGTCTTATTTTGGAAGTCTTGTTTTAGGTTAAGGGACTAGTTGAGGTGTGCATAAACTGACTCGAACACCACTGATAACAAAATAATAATAATGGAAGTGTTACATCTCTGTCTTTGTCTCCAAGTTGGAGATGATCCAGACATGAATATTCTATGCATTCACGTGAATTTGAGTTAAGTGTCATGAGTCATATTTTCACTGAATTAATCTTCTTCAAAAATTAAATCAAACTTCGTTTGGCTTTGTTGTTTGATTTGCACACACATCAATTTAACAAAAAGGGATCAGATTATTTATAATTTCTTAGGTTTATACAATATACATAAAGTTTCTTCCACTAGCTACCCACATGTGTCCACTTTCATAAAATTATAACCTAACATTGAGTATTGTTGTTAGTCAAGACCGTGGTTATATATATATACAGTAACGCATCTAGGAATTTCTTTTAGGGTGGGCCAAAATAAAAATTTATTATACATTATTATTTTTGTCCATTGATATTTTTTTTTAGGGTGGGCTAAAATATATAAATTTACATATTAATATTAAAAAAAAAAAATTTGAGGGTGTGACTGGATCCGCCACTGTATATATATATATATATAAAGTGATCCCTTTATTTGTCTTTAGATTTTATAAACCCTAGTAGAGGTTTTTTAATAATTTTTTTTTCAAATAATTAGCTAGTTTTGATTTATATTTAATTATTTGACTTAAATAAAGTTAGAAAAAAAATATAATTGGATATGGTTGATGTCATATCAATTCCATACTCAGAAAGTTTAATTTGACCACTATAAAATTAATAAAACATCCAACGTGCGAGATCTTATCAATAAAAAGTTAGTGTACAATTAATATTGCATTTTTGCATGCTTGCTCTTAGTTGATTGGCACTATTAGTTGGGTCATCAATAATGGCATTCAACTAAACTTCACACATTTCATTTGACTCGTCCCTATCAACTATTTTTGATAAGGATTTTTTCAAATACCCAAATCTGTCTATATAATTAACTTAGGATTAGAAAGAACATCAATATTTGATTTAGAGAAATACTCTACTTTATTAGATGAATCTAGAGTTAAGATTGATATGAGATAGTGTTAACTAGAAGACAAGTAAAACTGGCCAAATGAGGAGGAGGCCGCCGTAGTATCCGTTATAAAAAAGGTTATGAAAGCTATTTTTCTCATGTTTAATGTGTTGTAGACCACTTGGCTTCTCTTCAATCGTCCCTTCTTTCATCATTAACCAAAATCAGCCACGTTTTTGAACCTTTTGTAAAATCAATGCCCACTTTATATTTCCCTTTTTATGTTCACTATATATTAATTATTTGATTTATATCTATGATTTTAAATCTTAATTTCTCTAATGGAAGACGGGAAAATTACATTATTATTGCATCAATTTGTTTAAATATGTTATCTAAATATGTTAAAAGTAACATTATTCTTGTTTTAATTCTCTCTTCATAACATACGTAACTCTTTATAGTTTATTTTTTCTTTTTCTTTTTCCTTTTACGAATCTTATTATTAATTATACACATATAAATTCTTTGAATAAACTAGTATAATGTTATGAAATTGAATGTTTGAAAACTAAATTGATATAATAATCTTGTATTTATATACATAAGATATTATATAATAATCTTGTATTTATATACATAAGATATTATAAAAAATTTATACGTGTGTGTGTGTATATATATATTGTTGGTGATTGGGATGTCCATGATAGTTTGTGCATACTTCGATTAATCCATGAGATCTATTGAACACCTTACAAGTCCAATGAATCTGGTAAGTCACAAATATGGTAAATGGTCACTTGTTGGAACTCGAATACAAGACCTCTGGGTAACCTAAAGTCTTGCTATCCGACCACAATCAAATAGTTACGTGTAATGCATATTATTCTCTCTATTTTTCTCCTTATCTTAATATCTCTTTGCTTATATAGCATGATTAGCTTGATAACCCAAAAGTTAAATCATTAGTATTATGATTAATTTTGATTCAAAGATAGTGCCTAATCCATGATAATATGACTTCTCTCCAAACACCCGAATTGAAACCATGAGATAGTGCTTCATCCAATATAAATTATCTTCTCCTTTGTCTTTTCATTAAAAAAAGAAGCTGGTCTTTTCAAACTTTTCAAGTTATCCAATATTAGAAACTTTCAACCAAAACCTCATAATAAAGTTATCCAATATTATGATTTTTTCAGGTTTTGGAGGCTATGTTTACCACATGGAGAAGCTAGTCGAGACCATTTTTGTGTCAACCCATTTGGCCCCTGGAGCCCTAGCCTTGAACCTCTGAAACTTGACCCTATTTTGGTGGTTGCTGGTGAGTGTGAATTGTTGAAAGATAGGGCTAAGGATTATGCAAAAAGGTTGAAAGAAATGGGAAAGAAAATTAATTACATTGAGTTTGAAGGAGAGGAGCATGGCTTCTTCACTGATGATCCTTACTCAGAACCTGCCAATAAGTTTGTGGAAATCCTTAAGAAGTTCATTTATGAAAATTCAACTTAATTTGGTTAGTTACGCTTCTCGGAACACTATTAGAATATAGCTTCCGTTGGTAAAAGTAAACTAGGAATGACGGTTTTCATTTATGAAAAATTAATTGTTCACAAAACTAGTGTCAATAATGATTTTCAGGTTTTGGAGATGGTGTATGTTTGCAGTTGTGTACTATTAAACTTTATTAGGCTTGATAAATAATGTTTAAATGCATAATTAGTTTAATTATGCAAAAGTATGGGTGTGTACTAAATTTTTTAGTGTAATTTAATTTAAATTTGTGTTCTTAATTACTTCTAATTCTGTGATGATTGATGATCACAAAAGCTTTGAAAAGACAATTTACCTAGAGAGTGCAATGTATTAAAGGCAGAAAATCACTCCAATAATGGTAGATTGGACACCATAATCTATGTATTAAGGGTGAAAATCACTCCAATAATGGTAGATTAGACACCATAATCTAAGGCACCTGAAATTACAACTAGTTTAATTTCTTGACAGAACTTTTGATTAATAGATTTTTAATTAATTAGTTCACATAATATGGACACTAATTAGATAAAGTTAGGCTAATATTTTAGAATTCTCAACAATATTGAACTAATAAATGTTAATTTTATCTCTAACACCAAAACATTGACTAGTCAAACTAATTTTTCTTTTTTAGAATTTTTTAAAATTCTTATCATATACCTTTTGAAAAGATTTGGTAGGTCCAAAATCCACATTATAGCACAAGTGAATGGAATATAACAAGATTCCATACATTATACTATATGAGATTATTAATTAAACAATTAAACGCCCCCAAGAATCTGCAGTAAATTCTGGAGGTTTCAAAAGAGTGGGACATGATAAATTTCCCTTTTTGGGTATTTGACCACTAATTTTCTGTGTTTCATGCTTAAATCTTATTAAAATCAATATAAAATCAATAATATTAACAACTAGTTATTATCATTTTTTTTTTTTTATGAGCAAAATAAAATTTCTTGAAAATACCTCTCCTCTTATAGCCAGATGATAAGCCTTTTAGCTATTAAAATTAGTTATATCCAGGAGGTCTTGTCTTCGAGTTGCCGGAGAAGCAATTACTGGGTTGATCCCAAAAAAAAAAAAAAAAAAAAAAAAAATTCTTGAAATTGCTTTGCAAACTTGAGCTCAGAAACTAGAGTTCTATTAAACCTTGCAATATTTGGGAAGTTAGAAACAACGACGAATATTCAATATTATGCATAATTTTGTAAAAACCAAAAATTAAAAGGAAATTTTTTTTTTTTTTCATGTTTTCCTTCTCCCATAATTACGGGGTTAGGATTATATAATGACACCACAATAGGTTTCATCTTATAAATATTTCGGTTTACTGAGATATTTGATGTCTAAAACTATACATTTACAATTTTTTTTGGTTAGAACTATACATTTACATAATAGCTAAATTTTGATTGCTCATTCTTTCTTGGTAAATTTTTTTTGACATCCAAAAAAGAATGAATTGGTTGGCCCAAGAACCAAAACAAAAGTCCATTCCTTTAGAAGAGGCCCATGGTGAATTATTTTTGTGAAGGAGCCTCTTTTAATGGACCTTAAATATTGACCATGTTTTAGGGTATTATAATAATAATAATATTATTAAGGGTCATATTATCAACTTACATTTTTAATTTAAAATATTGATATAATTGTTTGATTATTGATCTATAAAAATTTAGGGTTAGCCTATTGTAACATAAATTTTTGGCACTGGTTGGTGACACAAATTCATAGTCATTGAATCAATATAATCTAATGGATTTGGATGAGAAGTTAAGAGTTTATTAAATTTTAATGTCAATTAAGAAATTTTTAAACCATTGAATTACATTAAATCAATAATCATGAATTTGTGTTACAAATCTATGACAAAAATTTGTGTGACAATATCCTCACCCAACAATTTAATGGTTGTAAGATGGTAATTAATAAGTAATTAATTTCTTTTATCCTAACTAATCAATCTAAACCATTAGATTGCAATAGATGAATAAAACTGTATTAGTATCAAAATTTAAGTTTACCTCTCTTCTTGTGGTTAGATGGCAAACACAGTAGCAATTAGAGTTAGCTATACCAAGGAGTCTTATGTTTCGAGTTGCAAGATAGGGTATATATATATATAGTAAACGATTTTTTCTCATCTAAATAATGGCTTAATGACACTTTCCCATTCACAAAGGCTCAAACTTTTAAAATATTAGTTTATTACCCAAATTTATATTCCGCTTCCGATTCCGATATCGTTGCGATCCCACATTACCGTCATTCTTTTCCCCAATCATCACTTACCAAAACCCTTCAAAGCCTACTCCGGTCGACCCTACCAATCCCTGACAATTGAGAGATTGGGGTTTGCGCAGCTGTCCCTTTCAAGTCAAATTCTGATCAATCTTAACGATCAAAATCCAACCTTCCACCACTAAAAGACTCATAGGCCTCCCCTCTTTAAAGACCCTAATAGTCTGGATCAAATTTACTCTTTGTTTATTATCGGAATATAAATTTGAGTAATAAAATAATATTTTAAAAATTTACAGGTGAAAAAGTGCCCTTAAACCGTTAGTTGGGTGGGAAAAAGTCGTCAACTCATATTTATTAAACACATATTTTAAAGTATAAAATTGACACTAACACTTTGAAATTGTTTGTGCACGGTTTTACATGAAATTTGAATTTTTTTCATTATTTTTTTTATCCAATTGAAATGTTGGAAGTTCAACTTGTAACCTTCAATTATGATGTCTTATTAAATTGCCGTTACAAACTAAAAACATAAACTACCAGGTAAGGATTCAATATTATATTTAATACCATTACTATTTCACACTTATGTTGCAACCATTGAAGCCGTGGTAGGAACCTCATCAAATGAAGAAGTCAGCTCTCCTGAAATATACAAAAATACAATCTCATCTCTTCCCAGAGTAAATGGTTGGGGATTTTTAGATCATCTTTGTGTCTACAAAGGCTTCTGGTGTGAGCTTCCATTCTAGAGTATGCCTTACTTGCTCAACAACAGTTAATGTCTCATCACTCCAGTGATATTATTCTTCTCAGCAGCGCTCCAAAATGTGGAACCACTTGGCTTAAGGCTCTGTCGACGGAAATGATAAGTATATTGAGAATACCTCCACCCCCTTTGCTCACAAAGCGTCCCCATGTTTGTCTTCCCTATATTGAGATAAATCTCTCAAGGAGATTATCAACTAAGCCACCCACATTCTTTACACTTCCTTGCCAAAATCTGTAAAAGATTCAGGTTGTAAGACTGTTTACATTTATAGCTAGAGAGCCAAAGGATAGATGCATTTGTTTCTCTATGGCATTTTGCTTGCAAGTTAACGCCTGAGAACCAAGAACCCATCTCTTTGGATCCAAAATCCACCCAGGCTGTCTGTACATTTAAAACACATTGATGCGACGTTTATGGGCGTCGAAGTTGATAGTGGAATTACTCCGATGCACATTGGAGTTGTGACTTAAACACCTAATTCCGCGACACCATTTTTGTTTGAAAAAGGATTATTAATTGCCTCGACAAATATTTTCGATGTTACAAAATATGTAGAAGGATCGATTGAATTTCATTTGGTTCTCTGTAAGAATCAAGATTGTACGATTTTAAGAGTTCTAAATAATTTGTTCACATCTTTAATTAAAAGGGTAGGATTGTACGAAGTGATCTGTGTTGGGGTTTCACATCGACTAGGCACACTCAAGCCTACTAGTTTATAAGAGAGGGTAATTCTCACATTCAACAAGACCTTATTGGGTGAGGAGTCAAGCCTACCTCAAATTCTATCATGGTATCAGAGTCCAGATTCAATTGAGCTAAGTGTTTGACCAGCGGATGAGGAGTTGGAGTCGATAACTACCTTCAATAAACAGACATGACCCAATATATGGGTTTGACTGTGAGGGGGAGTGTTGAAGTTCCACACCGACTAGGCACGCTCAAGCCTACTAGTTTATAAGAGAGGATAATCCTCCCATCCAATAAGGCCTTATTAGGTGAAGAGTCAAGCTAATCTCAAATTCTATCATGATATCAGAACCCATATTTAGTTGAGCTGAGTGCTTGACCAGCGGGTGAGGAGTTAGAGTCGATAACTACCTCCAATAACAGACATGACCTAACATATGGTCCCACACCGACTTCTCCCTATTCAACAAGACCTTATTGGATGAGGAGTTAAGCCTACCTCAAATTCTATCAATGTGGTATTTTGATTTTATTTATCTTCGTATATTGAACAACTATTGTGATTACTATTTTCTATGTTGTATGGTGTTATTGTCAATATGTGTGGTTTATTTATCAAATTGTATTTAAAAATTTATAGATGAAGGTTATTTATATGGTATTATTTGAGAAGGTTTGCATTCATTTTTAATTATCGGATCAATAAACAACAAAGGTGAAGATTAATAAATGACATAGAACATTAATTTAAAAGTATATTACAAAACGAGTATCATAATATCTTTTGTCTTCCACATTATGTTTTGGCGTAATCCTAATGTGGGACTACAAAGATAAATTAGTTTCTCAACAAAATGAAGCACTACGAAGCCACCAACTTCATGATATATATTATAGTGTGTAATAAAATACCAATCACAAGTTTTTATTTGTTCAGGTAAAAACTCAAATCAAGAAATTAATGTCAGAGAACACATCCATATATTGGTGCATTCTAAGTTGGGGTTGGGGTATAGTCGGAGGATGGACCTTTTTTGGTAGTGTAACCCACTAGGCTTAAGGCAATTCCTGAACTTCTTGTCATTGTGATCGACTAAAATTGAATTTAACATGCAGTTCCTTCCTCATCTCCTTAAGTTACTGAATAAAGGACCCATTTTATTACCCAGGTGCTGACACATTTTGCCTGGAAGGCAACCATTCCAGCTAGTTACCCTTGACTAATTGGATGGAACTGGCTTGTCCTGTGCATTAAACTATTATGAAGATATAGCTACTATTTTAACTTTCTATAATTATTCTAACTTATAATTTTTAATGTATTCAAATGTAACTTTCGATTCATGAATTAAAAGTGAATCTTATACGAATAGCTATTATGAAGCCATCATGGAGCAAGAAGGTTTTATTTATTTATTTATTTATTTTTAATGATTGAGAGTGTCCAAGCTAGCTTATATATGTATATCTCAACTAATCTTTTGGGATCCTAGAACTACCAGAGGGCAAGAGTT